TCTATGGTTGTGGGCTGGCTTCAGGAAGACTCTCTTGCTCCAGCTGGGCACAGTGCCCCCACCAACCTAGCAGTATCCCAAAGGCATCAAGCAATGTGAGCGCCTTTGCCCTCCTCCCACGGCTCCTGAGGCTTTGCGCCTTCAGGATATCGCTAGGTTGGTGAGTGGCGCTCTGCCTGGCTGGAGGGGGAGGGGGTTGTCCAGGGGGCTTGGCTTATTATTGGGGAAGGGTGTATATTTTTGCCCACAGGAAAAATATGGCATGGTCTTATTATCAGGACATGTCATAATTTTGGGGAAACAAGATAATACCTAGATACGGATTGTAACTTGAAGAACCACTTGATTCAAGTGATCATAAAAAAATTATCACAAAGTTAATCAGGTTCTACAAAGTGACGTTTAACTCCATGGATGAATGCACAGATCATAATTTGCTTCCCAGCCAGAATTTTTCCAAGGAGTTCCCAGTAATTTCTATGATATTATCAATCCACTGTATCTACTGCTTCTTATTTTATTTTTCTCAAGTCTTCCCAAGCATATTTTTTTCTGGTACATCATATGTTCAAAGTGTGTGAGTTTCAGTTTGTTGGTCATTAGACTGCCTTATTAGTATAGGCAATTCAGCAGGTTACGAAAAAGAAAGTTACGAATCTTTTGAATATATTATTGATCTGTCCATGTTATACATGTGTTGTTTCTGGGCATAGTTTCATTATCAATATCATTTTTTTTCCTGTAATGGTTTATGACTAGGTAAAGGTAAAGGTTCCCCTCGCACATAAGTGCTACTTGTTCCCGACTCTAAGGGGTGGTGCTCATCTCTGTTTCAAAGCCAAAGAGCCAGTGCTGTCCAAAGATGTCTCCGTGGTTATGTGGCCTGCATGACTAAATGCCGAAGGCACATGGAACGTTGTTACCTTCCCACCAAATGTGGTTCCTATTTTTTTCTGTTTGTATTTTTACATGCTTTTGAACTGCTAGGTTGCCAGAAACTGGGTCAAATAATGGGAGCTCACACTATTACATGGCGCTATGGATTCGAACTGCCAAACTGCTTACCTTTCTGATCAACAAGCTCAGGGTCTTAGCCAATTAGCCACCGCATCCCTGGTTTATGACTAAACAAAATTATTTGTGCTTTCTGTAATTCAAATCTCTCTTTCGATCATTTATGAGATGGGAAGAGTACCACATTCTAGATCAGTTCCTTAAATACAGCATCTTATATTTTTTTCTTTATCAAAGAATCTCCAAGTACTTACATAGTAGATTGCTGAAGTTTACATTGTGGAAGGCTCAAATCTCCTCTGTGAAGTCTTTTGGGTTTTCATATCCTGACCCCAACTCCTGGCTCTGGGAGTTCCTGCTGCAACCAATTACCTTCCAGGTGACACCTTACCTGGTGCTCAACCCACAAGCCCAAAGTATGAGCGAGAGAATAGAAAACAGACATCTTCTATTATTTTCTTGGTCAGCTTCTTTTGGCCATATAGTGAAGATGTGCAGTAATGGGATCAATTCTTCCTTTAGGAACCAGAAAGAAAGAAAGAAATCTAACTGTATTTTTTAAAAAAAGAAATAAAAACTAGAAAGAATTATGATTTTTTTACTAGGTATAATTCTAAAATGTATTAATAAAAAAAACACAGTTTACTAAATTATAAACAATCACAAGAATAAACTTAGTATAACAGTTGAAAAGAAATACATTATGAACAATATAAGACTCGGAACTTTAATTTGGAAAATATAAAGTAATGGGAATTCAATAGCACATATTCACAAAACAGGTTTAGCAAATTTAAGCAAGAGTACCTTCTATATATGTCCTATATTATGCAGCAAGGCAAATATAAATATTTAAAGAATAGTTTTTAAGAGGAAAAAGAATTGACTAAAGGACTTAGAATAGAAATACAGGAACATTTTAAATGTTTATAACATTGTATATTGTAGGATTACAATAAAGGGGAAGTTGGAAACTAAATATTTATTTATAATGTTTTTAGAAGCCTTTCTTTTTTTCTTTGTATCTTTAAATACAAAATCGTGGAGATTTGGGCACTCAGATATTTTCTCCTATTGTTAAATAATTCAATTTACTTTGTTCTTTATGGTTAATTTCCTTATCATTTGAGTACTAACTGTACAAAATTAATAAACTTCTTAGCCCACTTTCTGATATATTTCTGCATTATTTTTATCTCCTTTATTTTTTCCTTTTATTTATTCATTTTCTAGTCTTTTAAAAATGATTAATATGTTTTAAAAGGCAAAGGCCTGTTTTACTTTAAGTATGACAATGTAGTAACAACATAAATTATAGAACTGCCCAGATCATGTCATGTGTCCATGTACAAATTAATTTTAAAAGAAAAAATCCAAACAAACATAGCATATTCCAGACAAACCACAGGATGATGTGGGCCAGGAACAATAGAAAACTGTCTACCTTAATCTCTTAAAAAGACTAGAGTGGTTTCAGATTATTATCAGATCACAAGAAGATTCTAAAAGAAAAAGATATAGTATCCTGAACACAGCCTGAAGGATGACGAAAGGCTGAAATTATTCCCAATTCTCCCAATTTTACAGAGTATAAACAATCACACAGAAGAAAGAAAACCCTAAAGCAAATTCCTGACTATATAGTTTATCATTTGTGTATGAGTTTCCAGTCAGTCCTGTCTTCTGGTGCCTGCCTTGATTAATTCCTGAGGTTTTTTGAGAAAGATTTGTGAAATGTTTTTTCCTTGCCACCTTCTTCCAATGGTTGAGAGAGAAGAATTGGCCTAAGGTCATCTAGCTAATTTCATGATAAAGGCAGGAACAGAACTTTCAATCTCCTATTCTTCCACCTGGTGCCTTCAACCAGTACAGGTATTTTTGACTTAAGACTACAATTGAGCCCAAAATTTCTATTGTGAAGTAACACATTTATTAAGTGACGTTTGCCTCATTTTACGACCTTTCTTGCCAAAGCTGTTACTGCAAGTGAATTACTGCTGTTGTTAAGTTAGTAACACAGTTGTTAAAAGAATCTGGCTTCTCCACTGACTTTGCTAATCAGAAGGTTATAAAAAGTGATTGCATGACCCCAGGACACTGCCATAAATATGAGTTGATTGCCAAGCATCTGAATTTTGATCACATGATCACGGGAATGCTGCAACGGTCAGGCAAAAAACAGCTGTAAGTTACTTTTTTCAGTGCTATTATTACTTCAAACTTTCACTAAATGAACTGTTTTAAGTCTTGTTCATGAAAGATACTGCAGTTCTGCCCACCAGAGATAAAGCAGAGAGAGGTTAAAGAAACTACCTGAATCGCAAAGCCATCTCTCATTAATAGAGACATGTATTGTTCATCTAAGCATGCAAGCTGGCACTCAGTCTACAAGCAGCCAGGTGGTGTTCTGGATCTCAACCATAGGTTGGATGTATTTAGTATCTATTGCATATATTTTGCTGTTGGTTTTCTGGATTTCTGTTTATTTCTTGTACTATCTTTTTCTGTACCTTGCTGAGTTTTATCTTGTTCTCTTTATATTGCATATCACCCAGAGTTGGTTTAGAGGGAGGCGACACTGAAGTGGACTTAGTCAATCAGCCAATAAATTCACAACAGCCTACAAAGAGAAAGGGATGCATTTTCTAGTTTAAAGACAGAACCTGCGGTCACCCCTCCTTTCTTTAATCAATTTGCCAAGAGATGGAGGAGGATCACAATGTCACCTTGCTGCATTCCCAGAGTAGTAGCAACGTTTGACCTTTCAGCACCAATTTCCTTAGGGATTCTTTGTTGGTTTCAGGAGGTCTCTAACACTACTGTAGGTTTATGAACTGAAAGGATATGAGTTACTATACTGTATGTTCAAGTGAGATTTGTGCCAAATACTAATATTCTAACATTTCCATTAGGAAATGTTACCTTATAGACATGATAGTAAGTAGATTGTTCCTCTGGGACAGTTTAAAAAAAATGTTATCTGAGGACCCCTGGGATTCCATCAAGACTGTCTGAGGTCCTGGAAATAAGAAATATTTGCCTGATATTAGATACTTGGAAAAATATTTAAAAATAAGTCACTCTTTTCATGTTTTGTTAAATATATATAGTTTTGTTCATGAAAATATTTGTTAATACCTAATAGGTTTAATATTGATATTTTTATATGATAACTATTCCATGAATGTGTTAGTATTAACTTTTAATATGGTAAATATTGTTAAATATAACCCATGCAAGCAAAAGCTCTCTTTCTTTAAAAATGGGGAGGGTCCCACTTCTAGGACATTTGGGTAGGCAATGAAGGACATCACATCCCCAGCTAGTTGACTGAACCATCTCTCCTGACCTTCTGGAAGTCCCTCCAAACCTGTCCTGCTAACCTGGGGATCTCCCAAGGGAGCAATAATTTGATTAGGTGGCTCCATTGTTTGTAATTGGATGCTGTCTCTTAGCCTTCTAAAATATTATTTTTTGAATATTTTTAAAATTCTTTTGTTGTTTTGCACCCAGTCATGCCATGTGCGATGTGTGGCCCTATAAAGTATGATGAAACCATTCATTTATGAGCTGCTTTTTCTGATGAATTGTAATCGGAGCAGCCCTTCTTCCATTTTGTCCCCTCTCCGCACCCTACCTTTAGTCCTAGGGCCTAGCTGGGCCACAACGCAATGGGAGTTGAGGAAAACCTGGAGTCCCTGGGATTAGTCAATGGCTTCCTCTTTCTCGAAAAAATGCTTCCAAGAAGCGCTGGAAAGAAAAGCTAGGAGATCTTTCGGCAACCCCTTCGGGCTGAGGTGAAACCAGGTGAGGAAAGACAGACGCGACAGCCAGCTCTCCTCCCTTCCATGAAGCGAAGAAGTCTTGTCAGGGTCGGGCTGAGGTGAGGCCAAGCGCGGGCACGGAGCGGGGGCGGAACGCTTCAAAAAGGAGCTGCGGGCCTGGATAGCAAAGAAAGGGAACGCCAGGAGCAGGGAAGAAAGCGGAGGCGACAGAAGCGCCAGAGAACGGCGCAGGCAGAAGCGCAGCGCGTCGGGGAAAGCGTGGCAGAGCGGCCGTCTCCGTTCGCTCCTCCGGACCATGGGCGCCTTCGTCTTCAGCGCAAGCTGGCTGGGCTTTCTCCTGTTGCTGCTCCTGCTGTTTCTACTGCTGGTGGCCTCCCTCAGCGGGAGGACTAGGTGAGTGTCTGGCGGGATCCATCCATCCCGCGGGCGTCCGGGGAAGGATCGGGACAGGTGGGATCTTGGACTCGCTGCTACACCACAGCACAGAAGTAAGTTTGGGAGCTCGGTAGTGAATACGGCTTCCATCCTTACAGGTGAGGTCGGTCGGTCGGCGCGATGATTAGAGATACTTTACAGGTGAATCGCTTTACGATGCTTGGAATAGGTAGGAAGCGTAATAGAAGCAAGATCCTTACGGGAAGGGAGTAATTTGATGGAGGAAGTAATTTGAATTATGAGGTGGAGAAACAGGACCGGTTAAGTTTTTCAACTGGAAAAGACTGGAAAACAAACTCATCCAACCTTACCGATAATGCTAGGAAAGGAAGTACAATCCCACCACTAATTGCATGGTTAATCAGTGGAGTTAGAACAACATTGAGATGGCTTCAGTTGATCTCAAAATAACTAAACTCAAAATAACAATTACTAACCCCAAGTCTGGTTAGTAATTGGATGGAAATATCACTCGGAATTACCCGGGTTTTTGGCGCAGGTAGGAAATCTCAAAAACATCCTGGTTGAAGCAATGGCAAGCTAGCCTTGAAGGCTGCATGCACTTTTTATATATACAATTGTGTTTAACTCTACTTTATAGAATAAATCAGAATTGCACAGATTCATGTAAACTATTATGTCTTGAATTAAGCGTTTTTAACTCACGACATAATAGTTTAACATTTGTGTCAACCCAGCTAATAAATGAGAGGGCTTTTTAATAAGAATATTTAAAAAAATCATATTGATTTTGATTGCATTGTTTCTGGGATCAGAATCGAAGCTCATCTGCTTTAAATAGGAGCTAAAGGGTGTGACTATATAGAAGGGAGCTTTTATGCTTGACAGATTCCTGGGACTTAGCTTCGGATGTTGGACTTAGCTAAACCCTTTGGGATGATCTGTTATGCAACTTCTTTGTTCACGTAACATGTGCCCATTACGCAGCTCTCAAATCTCACCTGGTATGTGTGGTTGTGTTTTGAGAAGAGAGTTATAGATGATCTAACTACAAAATATTCTAGTTTATGCTGGAGTCCCCAAGTCTGCCCACAATATTTTCCTTGGTGCCCACCAGAGTGTCTACATTTCTTGATTGGTGGCAGTGGTATTACAGTACTGTTGTTCCAAAACAAAAACTTTCCAGTCTGGAAAATCAAGTGCCAACTTGTGATGCCATTTTTATGTCTAAGAATGTCTATGGTTCTTAAGTGAGCAATAGACAATAGCAATAGCAATAGCAATAGCAATAGCAGTAGACTTATATACCGCTTCNTTATACTTATTAAGCATCCATTAAGCCCAGCTATTATTACATCTATGTGATCTTTTGGGCTAAAAAGAAACATGTTTCTATTAAGAAATGCACTGAATTGAATTTATTCAACAAATCTGGAAACTAAAACCTAGGAAAACATTGAATTGTGATTACTTCATTCTTTTCATTCTTGGTCAAAAAAGCAGTTGGCAACCTTATAAAAACAATGATGTTGGTTTCACCCATACTTGTAAAACTATTTCTTCTCCTTCTCCGTGGATTGTTATATATTTCAAGGACGATAGTTGTATATGAGCAGATTGCTTGAAAAAAGCGAGATTTTGAAAAAAGCCGTTTTTGCCCTGCTGGAAGCTCAAGGAAACTTCTGGAGGTTCCAGAGGGCAGAAAATGAGCTTACTGGAAGTTCTAGAAATCCCAAAACGGACCTGTTTCTGGCCTCCAGAGGGCCTGTGGAGCCGGGGAGGCCATTTTCGCCCTCCCAGAGGCTCGGGAAAAGCCTCCGGAGCCCGGGGAGGGCAAAAACACACCTCTCCCACCATAGTGCAGGAAGCTGAGTAGGCCACACCCACCATGGCCATGTCCACGCAGCAACCGGGCAGAGAACTGGTTGCTAAAATTTTTGAATCCCACTGCTGGATTGCACCGAAATCTTTAATCATTTCTCCATAAGGCATGAATGTTCTCTTTCATAGCAAGGTTTTTGTTGAGTCAGTTATCAAAACTTCATAGTGACTTCTAGCTAAGTTGCCAAGTTTTTAAGGTTTATTGAAGAACCCTGTTTGGAGAATTCAAGTGGGAAGCAGAAAGGAGTTTCACAAAGTATTCCTGTGTGTTTCCTTCTACAGCACTCTAAATGACAAAAATCTTCACAGCCTGACTAAGGCCATGTGCCTTAACTTACAAACCATTTTGCTTCCTGGACCTGATGGAGCCAGTGGGCAGTGGAAAGAGGAAGGACTGTTTCATCTCTCCTACAGCACTTTGTTCAGGTGGGTGTAAAGTTTCTAAGTCCTTTAAAAAAAATTAGGGATCCTTGGTACTCTGACCTTGGTTATTTTCTTGCAGACGTAAACTAGGTAAAGTCATCAGTGCTCTAATGCAGCAATGATGCTGTTTCCTATGCAGCACTGATGAGGTTACTTTGTTTGAGTAATGAAACATCTGCAAGAAAACAGCCAAGCTTAGAAAGCACCACGAACCCCTCATTTCAACCCTGAGCTACAAACATCCTTCTTTATAATATTTTTTAATTAAGTTTCATTATAAGATAAAAAATGCAAAAGAACAAAAGTTAAAAAAGTAGAAAAAAGAAAGAAAAGTGGATTATGGGGAGACTCAGTGCTGCCACTTGTGTGCTTGACCCATGTCCCTCTTGGTAAGTCGCGGCTTCCCGGGAGGTGACCCGAGGCTGGCTCCAGGCGATTACCAAGGCTTCGTTGAGAGAGGGGTTCTTTCCCACCGCCTTGATGGAGGCGGTGGTGAGGCCCCTCCTTAAGAAACCTTCCCTGGACACAGCTTCTTTAGCCAACTATTGTCCGGTCTCCAACGTT